ATTTTTGAAGAGTGCGCGAGAATTGAAGTAAGCAGCACACAATAAAATTGATATAAAACAGAGTCGTGATAAATTGCCAATTGTTTACAATACCGGATAAAATGTTCGACATTATGGGGAGTACGGAGCATTCTGAGCAAGAACTAAAGGCAACGTAACACGTTGTAATACCGTGGTAAATGGAGAGTGTCTAGTGCACGTACCGATGCACAATGGCGGATAATTATCCTGCAGATCGTTTTTCCTATCGACAACCCATTTTGAAAGCCGTTTCACGTGTATCGGTTGAATACGCGTCAATAGCCTAACAAGAATCTTATCGTTCTCATGATAATAAGCCTAACCACGTGTCAAGCATGCACCCGATACTTCTTCAGAATATCAAACACAAATTAACATTTTACAGCGTATTCGTACAACAGAATATTACGTGTTTTGGTTATCTTTGCTACGTTTTGACGTCATTCAAAAAATTCATTGATCCAGTTCGTAGAAAGATAACGGTCGTATACATATGCAATGTTGTACGAGGTCCTTACTTGCCACCTACCGAAAAGATACATATAATCGCGTGCATTTTGTACCGTGATTTGTACCGATCGTTCCGATGATTCATTGTAGCATGACACAATATGTATGGCAATATGATGGATAACATAATTCCCATCGAACTTGTTCTAAACAAGATAAGGAACTACATATTTTCACAATGCTCGCTTTAATTAACTTTAGAACATTTCGAAATGTATTCGAACGTCTTTCATATTTTTGATTGAAATTCGAAAATTTAACGATCAAACACTTTATGGAGATATCGTATTTGTGACAAAATGCTTCACTTTTCGGTGTCGTTATTTGCGATGAAAATACTTGAAATATTTGCATTTGCAACGCAAATAAAGTGCTACATACGACTAGAAAAAATATTAATACCATCTATAGACCCTATAGTGGAGAAATAAAATAATCTAATTAGCAATAACAACACTATCCAACGTGTTCGCTTGATGTTACAAGTTCAAGATAATTAATTTGGACATATACATTTCTTTGCAGAGAAAAAATAGTTTCATTACCGACTAAAATAATCTTTTTTCTTTAGCGTTAAACAGCATCTTTGATACCGACTATACAATTTAATTTGAAATTTTTCTAGTTCATGCATGGCATTGTTGGTTGATGAGTTATTTATTGAGTAGATATACATCATAAAAAAACGTCTGCAAAGTTTCAGAGTTATCGAAGAATTTTCATTTTTTCAAGGCGTAGCCATTTTTCATTAATGTAAATGTGTCGTCAAGTAAGACAAGTTTAGCTTAATTATTTCTACGAACTTGTTGATGGTCAAGTTTCAAGCATTTGAAGTTCTAAGAAGTAACAATTCAACGAACATAAAAGGACGCACAAATATAAAAATATAATATAATAATATAAAAATCATTTGGCCTATAACTGCAAGATGAAATATATTTGTAATAGAAAAATATATATATAATATATTTTAAATAGAACGTATATGCGTTCATAGGTTTCAAATAAAATGCCCTCTACAACAAATAATATCTCGTTCGCTCAATCGTTGTAGTTCATTTCGGTTTTCCAACAACGTTAAATTGAACCGAAAGTGTTTATTTGCTTCCGGAAATCTTTGTTGAAAATTGATGCAACGGCACGTCATTTATCACATTCTCAACAGATGTCGGAATTAAATGATCCCACGGCAATGTTGTACATTATCCGTCAAATAATAATGGTCCCGATAAGACACTTCGTACGGTTGATACGCAGATAAGTTATCAACAAAAGAGGTACATTTAAATGCAAAGTACGTTTTGCTTTCAGCAGATAAAAGTACCTTTTTCGTGTAACGTAGCGGGATATTTTAAACAGTATTATTTTGCTTGTGTTTTGAACCGGTTATTGCTACGGAGCCAATCACGTGAGTGTGGAAATGTATCGTAAATGTTGGTAGACATTACTGGCACTTGCTTAGTTTCGACATTCTGTCGCGCCACGATTCAAGAACGAAGAGGATTCGTATTTCGTGTAAGGCACACTACGACCACCAATTATTTTCGTTTAACCGATTTCTTTTTCTAATGCTTTTAGTTAGTTTTATTTAGTGCTCGGACAGTGTAGATTTTTCAGACCAGCGTAGCTTTTAAAAATAGCGATAATTAAAACACATAGAAACTATCTGGTAACAGAGGCATTTTTACAACAAGGACTTACGTACTGGCAGTTTTAGACGCTGAACTGTAGGAACGCGTTCGTATCGCTTGGCTTTAAACTGCGCCAGAACAATTAAATGTAATAGTTAAATGTTGCGATTAGCGCATTTGTTAATGACCCGTTAAAAGTAATTGTTAACAAATACTGTGTGTACGTTGATCGCATCGATGAAGGTAGTAAATACATTTCTATTAGATAAATATGTCTTTTAAATTTTAAATAACAGCTTTTTAATAGTTAGGCAAATACATTATACATGTATTACGTAATATACGATATAGTTGTGTGTATGTAGACGTAACGGAGAAGAAGTATAGCAATTCGAAATAATGTCAGAATGACATTTTTCAAAATTAGCTAAATAGGGTGATAATAAGTTGTTATGACAGTTTTTTGGGGAAAATTTAGTACGCCTAACTGAGTTTCACCGGATAAAAATCACGATGTTCCTTCGATTAAGTTGACGTTGAAATTTTTTGCAAGTTAAAAATTATTTGTAATCCTTCGATATTTTAGAGATTGTAATTTCCATCATTTTATATCTTTGCTGCACTTTATAATTATACGTTTATATCCAGAGATAGATTTAGATATAGGTTAAACAGGCTATAACCTAGGGTGGCAGTTTTTTCTTTTTTGGGGGGGGGCGGGGAGATTTTTGGGAAAAGTTCCGCTTTAAGATTTTTTACGCAGGTTAAAAAATTGTACGACCTTACAACCGATTATTACGTATTCAACAAATGATATTAATTATTTCCTGTATATGTATTATAGTACGTTTCTACTGTACCAATGATTTGGTAGAGACCGATGCTTTGATTTATTATTCTAAAAATTTAAATAATAAATAATATGTGTTTTCATAAAAATACTAAATCTAGCATTTCAAATGCTTGCGATCATCCTCCCTCTTGCCTCTTACCCCTTCTCTTTTTATCGCGGGCGGCAATAAAACATATGAGTCTAGGGGAAGCAAAAATATAAATCCGCTTCTGTTTATACCAGTAATTCTTTTGAAATGTAAATGGATCGAACAAGATGTTACTCGCATTGTTTTCATTTCTGGGAATTGTCTGTGTATTTGACACGATAATGGTTCCGATAACGTGTTTAAACAAGATATAAAGGTACCTGAGCAAATTAAAAAAAAGAAGTTGCTGTCATTGATCTTTAACATTAGGTTTACGGACTGCGTCAAAATAACAAATATTATAGTAGAAATCGTCAAAAATCTCAATAAATATATGCTTCGTATTTTTATGAAGCGTTATTAAATACAATACATAGCTGCCATCGGTGATCTTATATCTAGTATCAATGGTATCGTAAATTTTCCTGGTAATATTTATTCTTCTACGTGATAAATGGCAGAGTTGCGAAGTACCAATCGCTATAAGTTTCTATACCATAACTTATAGACCACTGTTGGTAAAAATGAAATTAAAAACAAGCAAAGCGTAGCATATTTAAAGGTACTAATTTTTAGAAGATCAATTTGAAAACGAGCCATTGTCTCAACCAGTTATACCAGTTAAGTCTACTTGATTAATGTCGTTAAGAAAAAAATACTTAAATGATAGAATAAAAACATTTAATTCGAAATATGTGTTCGCAGCCGCTATAAATGAAGACACGCTCTCTAATCGTTGACTTATTTTCAATTCTCTAAAAAATGTCGTGTCTTGCGTAAGAATCAATGGAAAAACTTATATAACTTCTATACTGCACTTGTCGCAATGATAATTATCACGTGAATAAGTACCACATTATTGGTTGATACCGGAACTGTATTTATGGCGTGTGAAAGACAGGATTTCACACGCGAATAATGAATTGTCATTGCATTCTTTTTAATTTATCAGACGCGTTTGCAAAAGAAATGATAAATTTTTTGAAATTCTGAACGAGTTAATCTTAGCTTGGTATAATTTTCTTTCGTGTACAGTGCTTTGTGTTGCCATATCTATGCACATTTATTAACTACTTTTAATTACTCTTAACAGATACCACGAAGTCTAGTCCGTCTGTCGTTCATGTTAAGATTAATGGCTGAAATGTGAAAGATGGCTACTTGGTGTATCCGGTGATACGTCTATTTAAATGTTAATACCTTGGCCACCGTTATCTAGTGCCATCCGAGTTTATGTAACCGCGAACTTACTTCCGCAAGAACGTAAACGTTTCATATAAATTCTCAGCTTTTATCATCGAATAATCTTGTGCAAGACAAGACTGGCTTGCATATGGTTGCAGATTTTATGGTTTAATAGTTTCTCCAACAACGCCGCTTGTATCTACCTCACCAAGCATGTAAATAACTGCATCCATGCGCCTGTCCTCCATTTTTACGCTCGTTCGTGGACAGGGGCTGTCTATAGCGGCGATTAATTCGTAATCTCGGGGTCTGTTATGTCATAAGAAATTGCTTGCTCGTAAAGATGAAAATGTGGTTATCCACTGAAATTAGAACGGTTGGAATTTACGACATAATGAAATCAATATCATACGATCCTTGTGTAAACTACTTTTAAATTATACCTGCTAATTATAATTCGCTATATTCAACTATATATATATAGTTATAATATATAGATTAGAATATATATAATTCGCTTTATTCAACTCTCTCAATTTTTAACGCATTTAATAGAAAATATTTTGCATTCGCTACATTGAGTTCCCAATTTCTATATAGACCGTTCGAAGAGAATAAACTTTTTACTAGAATTAGAGAAAAGGACAGTTCATAATCTGTGCGACTAGGATGCTAGATCGAGGAATCCAAAGAACAGTGCGTCTTTCATAATCCAATCTACATGTAATGGTTGTCATCAAGTTGTTTTCTCGAAAATTATTGTTCTAATCAGAGTTTCGTAATTTGTCATTTGTCATCGTTATTAAGCTTTGGATCATGAGCACCGGTAATAAGACATTCGTTGTATCGGTATCGTTAAAATAAAAATTTCTGAAGCCAACGGTGATTGTACTTAATCATAATTAATATTATACATATATGTTCTACGCTCTTTCGTCTGTTTATGTTTGAAACTAAAACTACCGGGCACTAAAAAAAGCGACTAGTTTATATTTCGTTTTAAAAATAAAGATCGCATTTATTGAAACATTGCACAATAATTAGTAAGTTTAGTAAATTAGTGAAAAGAATCCAAGTCGTTTGCTCCAATTTTAAAGAGGTGCCACTGTAGATGTAAATTGAGAATAGCCGTACCGGTGAGCCTAACATCGAAATTCGATGAACAATTGCAGAACATATTTTTCGAATATATGAGCCGTTTATTTTGAAAGTGGCATAAGTCACTTTGTTTTTAAGTCGATATATTTAAGGGCGCGGGTCGCCGCACACTATGACGAGCCACACATACAAGAAATCCATATACGTATATTAGTTTTAGGGGTGTCTATCGACCAAAACTGACGCTTTAATATCGAAGTATGTAGTTCACAAGTGGAAAATTTAGATTCCGGAAAGACTAAACGACTGGACTTCGGTTGTAGAAATATCCGTTTTACAGTTATTGCGGAGATATTTGCAATATTCGGCCAGAGTGGTGTCAATCTCACGAGCATGACGTCACAAGATGGCCGCCGCTAACAGTTTTTCGTAAATATCGAGAGATATAGAGCTCGAATCGAAAATTCACAACCGAAGTCCAGTAGATAAGGCACGTACAAAGGCAATGGAGTGTATTTTCAGTTGATTTCTTAGTTAATTAAGACACAGGAGTAGT